TATTAACATGGTATGTATGTTGCCTATGGAGTTTTGTGCTATGGATGAAGCCGAGGTTGCTCAGTTCTTATTAAGTCCTAAAGACGCAGTTTTTGAGAAACCCGATGAGTCAAACCGTCACATTAAGCCTCTCTATCTCAAAGGCTATGTTGATGGGAAGTCGGTCTCTAGGATGCTAGTGGATGGAGGTGCCGCCGTTAACTTGATGCCGTATTCGTTATTCAAGAAGTTGGGGCGTGAGGATGATGAGTTGAAGAACACCAACATGATTCTCAATGGCTTCAATGGTGAACCAATGGAGGCGAAGGGTATCTTTTTGGCGGAGCTCACCGTGGAAAACAAGACGCTACCAACCGCTTTCTTCATCGTCGATGTGCAAGGTAACTACAATGTTATTTTGGGTCATTGTTGGATTCATGCCAATTGTTGTGTGCCTTCTACCTTGCATCAATGTTTAATCCAATGGGACGGCGATGATGATGAAATTGTTCAAGCGGATACATCGGCCGAGGTTGCAATGGCCGATGCTACTTTTGAGTGGCGTCATGGGAATATCCAATGCTTATCGGGGAGGGATCTTTCTAGCTATGATTTTATTAGTATATCCGATGGCAAATTTGTACCTATTTCTATAAAGCCGGCTAGTGTAGCATGGCTAAGCCATATATATTTGTATAATGAGTAAAGAGGCTAATTTAGAGTGGTTACAAAAAGGGTGCAAGAGTATCGGTCTACAAAGAACGATATTGGTGAAACCGTTGAAGATTTTGATGAAGTGGACAAGCTTGGACAAGGGTTTACATCGGCCGATCCATTGGAAGAAGTTGACATAGGTGATGGAACTAAACCAAGGCCGACTTTTGTAAATAAAAACATGAGAGCCGATTATAAGGTTAAGATAATCGAGCTACTTAAAGAGTATGTTGATTGCTTTGCATGGGAGTACCATGAGATGCCGGGACTTAGCCATGAGCTCGTTGAGCATCGGCTTCCAATTAAACCGGGTTTTAGGCCTTATAAGCAACCACCTCGTCATTTTAATCCTTTGCTATATGACCGAGTCAAGGAGGAGATTGATCGGTTGTTGAAAGCGGGGTTTATTAGGCCATGTCGTTATGCGGAGTGGGTTTCTAGCATAGTCCCGGTGGAGAAGAAGGGGAGTGGTAAGATTAGAGTTTGCATAGATTTTAGAGATTTAAATAAAGCCACTCCCAAAGATGAGTATCCTATGCCTATAGCCGACATGATGATTAATGATGCCTCGGGTCATAAGGTGATTAGCTTTCTAGATGGTAATGCCGGCTACAATCAAATCTTTATGGCGGAAGAGGATATGTACAAGACGGCTTTTAGGTGCCCAGGGTTTGTTGGTTTATTTGAGTGGGTTGTCATGACCTTTGGGTTGAAGAATGCCGGTGCAACATATCAAAGGGCAATGAATTTGATCTTCCATGATTTGCTAGGTATTATCTTAGAGATCTATATTGATGATATTGTTGTCAAATCGGATGGTATGGAAGGACACATAGCCGATTTGAGATTAGCTTTTGAGAGGATGCGCCGGTATGGTTTGAAGATGAACCCACTTAAATGTGCTTTTGGTGTGTTGGCGGGGAAGTTCTTAGGATTCATGGTGCATGAGAGAGGAGTTGAGATTGATCCTAAGAAGATAGAAAAGATTCGTGATTTCAAAGTGCCGACATGCAAGAAGGAGGTTCAAAAGTTGCTAGGTAAGGTGAATTATTTGAGGAGGTTTATTTCTAACCTAGCGGGTAAAATCGATGCTTTTGTTCCTATACTTTGCTTGAAAAAAGAAGCTGATTTTATTTGGGGGGCAAAACAACAAGAGGCGTTTGAAGAGTTGAAGAGATATTTGTCTACTCCACCCGTTGTGCGAGAGCCTAAAGCCGGAAAGTCTTTTCGGTTATATATTGCCTCCAAGGATAAAGTCATTGGTGCTGTTTTGACGCAAGAGGAAGATGGCAAGGAATATATCATTACATATTTGAGCCGCCGTCTTTTGGATGCTGAAACGAGGTATGTCTTTATAAAGAGACTTTGTCTATACTTATACTATGCTTGTACCAAATTGAGGCATTATTTGTTATCTAGTACATGCATAGTTACTTGTCAAGCCGATGTTATTATAAACATGTTGCAAAGGCCAATTCTAAGTGGGAGAATTGACAAGTGGGCGTATGCTTTGATAGAATATGATTTGGCTTATGAACCATTGAAATCTATGAAAGGCCAAATTGTATGTGATTTTATTGTAGATCATCATATAGATATTGCTTATAAGGGGGAGGTTTGCGTAGTCGAAGTTATACCTTGGAGAATTTATTTTGATAGTTCTTCTTGCAAAGAAGGTCAAGGCATAGGGGTAGTTTTATTTTCACCTAATGGCATGTGTTATGAGGCATTGGTTCATTTGGAGTATTATTGTACAAATAATCAAGCCGAATACAATGCTTTATTGTTCGGCTTACAAGTTATGGAGATGGTTGGAGCTAAGTACGTGGAAACTTTTGGTGATTCGGAATTGGTGGTGCAACAAGTCGCCGGAGTCTACAAATGCTTGGACGGATCACTAAATAGGTACCTCGACTCATGTTTGGATATTATTGCCAATTTCGATAATTTTGCTATTAGACATATTGCTAGGCATGATAATTCTAGAGCAAATGACTTGGCACAACAAGCATCTGGTTATAATGTGAAGAAGGGATTATTTCTGATATTAGAAGAGCCGGTGTTTGATTTTAAATCTTCGTGCGAAATTGGCAAAACTGGACACCAGTGGCGGTCTGACCGGCATTGCACGGCAGGTCTAACCGGTGACCAGAGGCGGTCCGACCGGCCGCATGCCGCCGGTCTGACCGGCGACCCAGAGCGGTCTGACCGGCCTGGTGTGGCCGGTCTGACCGGTTCTGGGCAGAGCGCTAGGGGGCACGTTTCGATCAATTTGGAGGCCGAATTAATTGTGAATTCGGACATTTGTGCCCAGGAAGCAGAAAAGGATTGGACAATTCCTTTGATTCGATATTTGAAAGATCCCACAGTTAAGGTTGATCGAAAAATTCGGCGGCAAGCATTCAAATACACATTGCTTGATGAGGATTTATATCGCCGAAATATAGATGGTGTCTTGTTGAAGTGCTTAGATGAAGATCAATCTAAAGTGGCTATGGGAGAGGTACATGAAGGAATTTGTGGAACTCATCAATCAGCCCACAAGATGAATTGGTTGCTTATAAGAGCGGGGTTCTATTGGCCGAAGATGATTGATGATTGCTTCAAATATTATAGAGGATGCGAGTCTTGTCAACGGTTCGGCAATGTTCAATTGGCGCCCGCCGCCGTGTTACGGTTCGGCAATGTTCAATTGGTGCCCGCCGCCGTGTTGAACCCCATAATTAAACCATGGCCGTTCCGATGGTGGGCTTTGGATTTCATTGGTCAAATTTATCCTTCGTCATCAAAGGGGCATAGGTTCGTGCTAGTTGCTACGGATTACTTCACCAAGTGGGCCGAAGCCGTGCCTTTGAAGAATATGACTCATACGGAGGTAATTGACTTTATTTTGAAGCATATTATCCATAGATTCGGTATTCCACAAACATTAACTACGGATCAAGGTGCTTCTTTTATGTCTAAAGAAGTGAAGAATTTTGCCGAATCTTATGGTATTAAATTGTTGAGTTCTTCTCCTTACTACGCTCAGGCTAATGGCAAGCTGAGTCGAGTAATAAAACATTGTTGAAGTTGGTAAAGAAGAAGATTGAGGAATACCCAAAGAGATGGCATGAGGTGCTTTCTGAAGCATTGTGGGCGCATAGGATATCTAAACATGGTGCCACTAAAGTCACTCCTTTTGAGTTGGTTTATGGTCAAGAAGCCGTTTTACCGGTGGAGGTAAATCTTGGTTCTCTTCGTTATATCAAGCAAGATGATTTGTCAAGTGAAGATTACAAGACGTTGATGGGAGACAACCTTGATGAAGTCATCGACAAGCGCTTGAAGGCATTGGAAGAGATAGAGAAAGAGAAGAAGAGGGTGGCCAAGGCGTACAACAAGAGGGTGAAAGCAAAGTTGTTTCAAGTTGGAGACTTGGTTTGGAAGACAATTTTGCCTTTGGGTACTCGATCCAAGGAGTTCGGTAAGTGGTCTCCTAGTTGGGAGGGTCCTTATCGAGTGTGCGGCATTGTTCGAGGGAACGCATACTTTTTGGAGACACTTCAAGGGGAGCATTTTCAGCGAGCAATCAACGGGAAATACTTGAAGAAATACTTCCCGAGCGTTTGGCAAGACGCTTAGGAGGTACTATGGCCGGTAATTGGATTATCGTCCTAAGACCAAAAACATGTTCTATGCTTTTAGATTCACGTTGTTCATCAAAAAGGCAGGGGGGCATGTGTTTATACCAAAATTTGGCACCTAGGATTAAAATAGGAAAGATTGCCAAAATTTGGAAGTCTACCGATTTCCTCCGAGTGGGCCGGTCTGACCGCCGTGTGTTGGGCGGTCAGACCGCCGGTTGAGGGCCGGTCAGACCGGCGGTGTGTGGCCAGTCTGACCGGCAGGTCCAAGTCCGACTGTGTTTCATCGGGTTTCGAGGTTTCCTTGCTCGGGAAGGCATGTTTCGGGTTTCCTTTAGTTTCTACCCCGAGTTGGATGTGGAGGAGGGCCTGTAGAGGGCAAGACCAACCCCTATATAAGGGACATGGCCGGTTGATGGTAAAAACCAATCTACAATCAATCAATCGAATCGTTTTTTATATTGCTTTTAGTTTTCTCTTAGTTTTTCCATCTTGGTCGGTTTGCACCGTAAACCGTCCGCCGCCGCTACGAGAGTGCGACACCTCTTTGTAGGTTTGTGCTGAAAACCTTCAGTTTTGCCCACGAGACGGATAGTTATCTAGAAATCGGCTCCGCTAGCCGGTTTAGTTATCAAAACCCATCTAGGTTTAGCTCTTTGCTAAATCGAGGTGGTTGGCGACTCTAGGATCACCGCAAGGCTTAAGGTGCTGCGATCGTGCTTGTCAACTTGTCAAAAAAGTTGCCAACACAAATTAGGCCATTTTCTCCATTTCTTCTATCTGCACAATGCTAGCTCTCAGTTGATTCTATCGCGTCCATGGCCGGTGCTTCCCCTTGGCCTAACTACATGGATGATCTTCTCGGTGAACTCCCTTAGCAACTTTGCAGAAACATACATACTACGTATGTCTTACTGGCTCTTATGTTGATTTCTGATTTTATTTTCAGGCCAATCTTACATTTTTTTTTCCCGATCTGTTGTCTTGCTGACCTTTTCTGATTGGACATTCCGCGGGATCACTATCATTTCCTTGCTACTGTATTTGTCTGTTTTCCTTGCTACTGCCTACTGGAACTCTCTGCAGGTAAATATGGTCAAATTGTGAGGAGATATCGTACATTCGACTAATTCTGAACTTTCAACATGTGATTCTTTCTTTTGCAGCTCTAAGCGGCTACACACATTAATTAAAGGCCTAAGTTAACTGAAACTGAAACAAGATGTGTAGTACATCTATGTCTTTATGCAAGTTCAAGTGGTTCATAGGCAAGAAATTAACCAATCAATATCACAGGTACCTTCTAATCATAGAGTTCAGTTTTACAGTTTATGAAGACATTAGGTTTACATGTGATTCCTTTGTTCAGGATCGCAAGTTCGACCCATTTCTGTAGTTTTTACACAGCAAAAGTTACATTATGTGCTATTTCTGTACCTCACTAATAAAAGTATAATACTTTACACCATTATATTGGAAGAATATGATCAAATTACAATTAATGATAAATTATTCTGCATCCAGTTGTCAATGGTTCTTTTCGCATTTGGTTATCCATATTTACAGCTTGTGCTTCCTCATCATAAATTCATAATTTAGAAAATAATAGCACATAATTGCAATTTCTGCAGCGAAAAACCAGATCTGAACATATCCTTAGCTTTATATTGTGATATTTAACAAAATTTATAGCTGCTTTTGTTCCATTTAAGTTGTATTAATCAGCAGTACAGTAGTGGTGTGTTGCGCCTAATAAGAAATGGTAGCGGTATGTTAGTAGACTACAGTAGTAATTTTTTTAAGAACATTCTCATTCAAAATTTTGGCCAACTGCTGACATTTCCCATGCCATCACATATTCTCAGCAAATTCATTGCTTTTTATCAAGTTACTCACACTAATATTTCACATTTTGTGAAGTAGAGTACTTAATTTGCTATGCCCGCAGCAACGCGCGGGGTTTTACCTAGTATCTACAGTGAAGATGGCATAGAACATAGGATGCACATAAAACTTGTGCACAAAATTGACTCAAACTGCCACAAATTTGTGGATGCCTAAGGAAAGAATGCTACACTGCAAAAAAAAAAATGATGGATAGGCTCCATGTATAGAATGTTATATACATCTAATAGATAGTAAGGAATATACAGTTATTTGACTGTCATGTATAGACATACAGTTGACTTAATAGAATACTTATTCTTATGGTTTTTGTGCTTTAGAAATAAAGGCAAATCAGGTTAATCATTCAGATTAAATGACAAAAAAGTAAATAAAACTGATGAATAGTTATCCAAACAGATATATGTATTTGTATCTCTAAAAGGAAAATGTTTTCAATTCAACATGCCTTGATACTAAGTTGCTACTTACCCTAGAAAAGTTAATTAGTGTGTAATGACAATAAGTTGACCTCACGAAACTGTGAATAAGGGCTTTATAACCTGCATAATAGCATTGGATTTCCACTAAGATGCATGTCTCCATTGACAGCCTGAGTTATAAACAAATTGACAGTTTTACTCACTGTGATACATAACCTTGTTTTTTTTTAAAAAAAAATATTTTCTTATAAGAATATATATCATCCTGCCCAGTGCCCATATCCACTAAACTGCAGGAACACTCAACGTCTCAACATGGCTTTGTTAATACATGCAGTCCGAGATATCTAAGAAGTGTAATCAGCTAGGAGTACTACCTTGGCACTTGACTTCCCAAGTGCAAACAATTGCTAGCAGTGTGCTAACGCTGTAGATTGCCCTCAAAAGATCGATACACTGGTGGAGAAGTAGTTTTTACTCCCGGTTCGTAACTCCACTTTAGCCCCAGTTTTTCAACCGGGACTACGAATCCGGGACTAAAGATCGCTATCTTTAGTCCCGGGTGAAATAACCGGGAGTAAAAATCTATCTTACCAACCGAGACTAAAGATAGAGCATCTTTAGTCCTTACCAACCGGGACTAAAGATAGAGCCAGGCTGATCCCTGGCTGCTCCTTTATTATATTCTTTTCTTCATTGTTTTTAATATATTGATTTCACTCCATCCCCATCCCCAAAATCCCAAATCAATTATCACCTCCAAATCCTCAAATCGATCATCTCCAAATACATCACAAAATCTTAAAAAAAATTACATCACAACATCTACAAAATTCATCACAAATAAATCACATATTCAATATCACAAATACATCTCGGATCCGGACCACAAATTCTAAAAAAAAAAGGAAAACAAGCCGCCATCTTCCGCTTGCCGCCTAGCCACCGCCTTCCGCCTTCCGCCAGCCAGCGCCGCGCGCCGGCCGCCGCGCGAGGCCGGTGCCGCGCCTGCAGATCGGGGATGAGTAGGGGGGGGAGGAGGAGCCTCGCGCGGCGCCGCTGCCTGCAGATCGGGGAGGAGGGGGGGAGGGGGAGGTGAAGGAGAGGAGGGGGAGGAGGAGAGGATGCTCCGCGTGTAAGATAGCGAGGAGAAGAGGGTATCGGAGGAGAGGAGGAGGAGAAGAAGAGATAGAACCGGGAGGGAGGAGGGGAGGAGGAGATATGTATCTCGATCCCGCACGCCTCGATCTCTCCGCACATGCCGATCTTTTTTCCCGGTTGGTGTTACCAACCGGGACTAAAGATTGATCTTTAATCCCGGTTGGTAACACCAACCGGGACTAAAGATATTAGAGGGGTTTGACATCACCTACCGTTTTTTAACCGGGACTAAAGATCAAAAAGTAGCTCTAACCTTTTCAACCGGGACTAAAGATAATCTTTAGTCCCGGTTTTTATTGCAACCGGGACTATTGTGGAAGTTGGTCGACCGACCAAAGATGGTTTCTCCACCAGTGATATGTGCGTCAGAGAAAAATGAACACATTTTTTCCCATTGAATCATCTCCGATCTGCTGGCTTCCACCTTGTGATAAACATATGTGCGTGATAGATTACCTCGGCTTCCACCATCTACGATCTGCCGTCACTCCCTTCCTCATCGTCACTCTCTTCTTTCTTCCTTACCCCTCTTACGACGAGGTATGTCGGCATGTATGATGAAGATGAGGTGGGGGGAGGAAGAGGAGGAAGGGGTGTGTGGCACTGTAGGCGACGGGGATGGATAAGAGCAACGCCGACATGGGCAAGGAGGAGGAGAACCCGTTATGTGGTGCATCGAGGCCTGAGGACCCTCTCGATCTGGCAGCAACATTACTCTATGGCGCTTGATCTGGCGCAACAGTGCTCGATCCGGAAGGATGAAAGATGGTGGAGGATGGGGAGGAGGGGAGGAGGAGGAGGCGACGGGGACTAGGAGGGGAGCGAAGGGGATGGTGGAGAAGGAGACGAGGTAGCGAGGGGCGACAGGAAAATAAGGCGGCGGCGGTAGCGCACGAGAGGATAGGGGTAAAATGAAAATTTTTAACTTTTTCTCCATGTACGTGGAAGGACTAGAAACAAATAGAAAATTCTTAAAGGGACAAAACGATATTTTTCCAACTATAGGATCTAATGGCTTAGAACTCGCAGAGAAGAAATCAGACGGTATATATTTATTTGATGATGTGGAGCATTATCCTTCTAGAAAGCTTGTTGCTTTCATCTATAATAAGGATTTGCAAAACATGTAACTATTTTGATGACGTGATGCAAGTAGTATTTCTACAAAATGGATTTGGCATTGAACGTACTGTTTTAACCTAACTGTTATGGAGTTTCAAGTTAAAACCTTGCCACAAAAGTTGGCCCGCCAGTTACAAAGTTAGTTAGTACTTCAACTGAGTAATTTGCGTTGGATTTATGGAGAACATGGTTCGTCCTCCAATGGATCAACTCCAACATCTTGTCCTTTTACCTCTTCAGCTCGATCGGCCAGCTAAGTGGCAAGTTTGTTTCCTGTTGTATTCCATATTGCTACTGTATGATCATAGTCGAATAGGAAAGAAAAAAGTACTTTTTTCATCAACATCACGAATAGGTACGAAGCAATGTCTCTTGCCGACGGCCTAAGAAGTAGCGGACAGCTGCAAGACAAGCCAGCTTTGCCTAGAAACTATATTTTTTGCCACCCCAGTATTTGTTTGGCTGCTGCAATCTCCCACATATCTATCATTTATATATACCCTTCATGTGCATGAAGTATGTTGTTAATAAAACCCGGAACTCTTGATGTTGCTTTCCATTTTGTCGTTCAAAGTCAGTTAATTTGCTATATAGTTGTGCACGGACATGTCGATCGTCTGTGCACCTCTGCTTGTGCGCGCGCCTATTTGCTGTTAGGTTTTACATGGAGTGATTTCACACGTGTGACGAACTGACAATGTGGGACTATGTGACGATGGTTATTATGTTTTCGTTGAAAAGTTAGCAACTATCTTCAGTTGCATTAGGTTGAGTGTGCATTATGAGTAGAGGACAATATATATGCGATGCGTGTGTAGAATCTATGGTAATAATCCGGTGAAGTAGTTGAAAAGAACTGGAACTTCTCTACTAAAAAGAGATAGGAGATTGCAATCATCTACAACATAACGAAGCATTGCCGTCAACCTCAGCTCCCTTGTTTTTATTCTTCCTAATTAACTCAGTTGTACGAAAATAGAATAGTCCAGAAATATCATGCCTTGTCCAGTTACATTTGTAGGATCTGCTGGCTACCCTAGCGCGTAGTGAGGAAGGCTTGAGGTTGAGCAGAAGGTCTCTAACAAGATGATGGTGAACTAGAACATATCCCCTCAATGCTAGGCGCTAACTTCATTCCCTTACTGCCTCCTATTTTCATTATGTTCTCCATCACTGAAATAACTGCCCAGATGTGGCTGTTGCAAGTACACACAAGGAAATATACTTTACTCATGGCATTGGTTGGTAGGATGCTCGGTCTCCAAAAATTAATCCACACACCACGACCACATATAGAGATCTATATTATGCACCGAGAGCATGTACTAGCACTGGTGCCTGTTGGCTATGCACAAAATCGCGCACCCAATTGCTCGCACTGTATGATGTATTCCTACAAGGTGAACTGAGAAAAATAGAGGACATAAAACAAAGTGCAGAAGAACACAAGAATTTGGGGGCAATTTTGTGGGGATTTCTTTTATTGGAATAAAAAGCTACAACTCGCTACGTGCCACTCTTATAATTGTTAACTACTATTACCTGGACGGATTGTTGTTGCTACTGTTAGTGGTGGCTAAATATGGTGATTAGTTTTGAAACGCATAATGCCATAGACTAAGCATTAACTCATTAATTATGAATTTTCTATTTCGAGAAGTAATTTTTTTAAAAAATGCTATATTGGTAGTCCAAGATGGATAACTCCATATATATTTTGATTCTAAATTACGGCATGTTATAGATTGAAGCAATGATCTATGTCCGGTACAATTAGCTAATTAGTAATGCTAGATGTATGAACCAAATTATAGGGCTGAGTACGCACACGTTATGAGTAAGTATGTTTATACTTTATTTAAAAAATAAAGTGCTAAATTAAGAGCCCACGACACGAAATAACT